TTTTTTACAGTGTACTTAAAGTGTTGTGTGTCATGTGTTAAAACATGAACAAAAAGCTGATCGCTGATCTGATGGCATTGATGTTTGGAGAAAACGTTGGATACAACTCTGACAGCACAAAGAATTTTCCTCGTTTGATCAAATCTGTATAATGCACTTTGAACTACTGTACAGACAACATTGTATTATTTTCATGCACTGGTCAATTTTGAGATTTGGATCTATTTTGCTTCCATTTCAGACTAGTGTAAAGAAATCAGAAATACACATTTAAGTGCTTATCTGTATTGCACTTCATCTGTTTGCGTCTGTAGATTTCAATGAATGCATAAAGGCTGTTGTTTTTCTCATCTTTAGCAGCACTTGCATACACCAAACTTTTATTCATATATTCTGAAAGTTTTTACTGAGGGGCTTTGTTTATATTATATCACTCGCTTGGTTTATAAAACATTTTATTCCTATAATCAGAGTTTTTTTTTTTCTTCTGCCTTTTGAAAATATATTCCGATTTATGAAGTGATAAAAAGCGAAATCCAAAATGTAAACAAAATCAAACGAATTTTGCCTGGCTTTATGCAATGTTCACATTTATTGTTCTGGAGTTGTATGCAAATTAGTACATGTTTAATTAGATAATGCACCAATCGTATATGCAAACATAATATTTCAACTTGTAAACTTGTAATACAAAATAATTGTCAATGTTACCCTTACGAAAAAGAAGTTTATTCAAGTGTGCTATTAGTATACTTCTTTTAAACTAAAAATAGGAAAGTATACTTTGTCTACTTTTTATGTACTTCTCAGAAATGGGCTTTATGCACTTCTCAGAAATATACTTAAAATGACATTTAAGTATTCTTGACTTATAGCCTACTTAGAAAAAGTCTAAATATATTTGTTTTCATTGTTATACGCTAGTACACATTTTCTGTACAGAATTTCCAAAAAACACAAGTGAAGAAGAAACCGAAACAACAGACGCTTCCACGTGTATTCTAACACGATCATCAGACATAAAACAGCATCAAAACTGTGTAACCTTATGGAATAAAATGTCGACCAATGAAGAGGTAATAATGACTGTCAAGCTTTGGGGTGTTGATCGAATCTATCTACGTTTTGATTATCATTCTGAATCCAATTCATAGTCTTTTTTCAGCTTTTTGTTCAAAATGTTGTTTATTTCTTTATTTTTTATGAAACATATCCACATTCAAGTGTTTAAAAAAAGAATGCATGAAGCTAGAATAAAATGTTTTTGTTTACAAGCAGATACCCTGTTCTTTTGGTGTTTTGTATGTTCAGATATTCATATAACAAAATATATACAAATTAATACCTAAATAGGGACATAGTAGTATACTTAAAGTATGATGTAAAGTTCACTTAAAGAAAACTTACGAGTATACTTGCAGTATAAAACTACTAAACTAGTTTACTGAGACTATACTTCAAAGTGTACTAAAATGCTACTACAAGTATTTAATTAGTAAACTATCAGTATACCTATAAGCTCACTTTTAGTATAGTTGCAGTACAAGCTAAACAGTTTGATGTAAACTAGTTGTGTACTCGAAGTTTACTACTGTTATACTTAAAAGTATACTTTTATATACTAGAAAGTGGGCCAATTTAGTCCCAAGGAGTATAGAAATAGTACACTTACAAGTATACTACTAGTACACTGATATTTGTATACTTAGTATACTTAAAATATACTTGAACTTTACTTAAGTATACTTATTAAAATAAACTTGAAGTATACTACTTTTTGGTAAGGGTATACACTGGTGTTTTGCCTCAAAGTGAAGACAATAGATTTCAACAAAGCTTTTTTTCTACACACCATAGCCTACTAGGGCACAAAAATGTTTGCTATTTAAAGAGTAGCTCTTAATTATATGACTTTGGTGCCCATTTGACCAAAAATCTATGAAAAG